TTTTTTTTTTTTAAAAAAATATTTAAATATACACCTTGGGAAATATTATCATTGTTTTAACTTAATTTATAAATTAATGTAACCAAATATTTTTGGGTTTGAGTGACAAACTGACTGATATATAATTATGTTTATGTTATCTGTGGCAAGCTGGCCACTTTCAATAGGAAAACCTTTTTATGTTCTTCTTTTGTTTTGAAAAATATATGAGTGTGTTTGACTAGCTAGTTTAATTCACACTATAAATAATTATAGCATTCTAAATTGAAAATATATGACACTAACAAAATAGTAAAGTTTACATTAGTTACTTAAAAATCAATTACTTGCAATACACCTAACTGGAACTAAAATAATGCGTGATATTGTAGAAGTGTAATCGTAGTAGTAAGACTGATTGCAAATGATTTAGTAGTAGTACTAAATCACTTTACAAATAAAATACTTACAGGTTTCTCAAATCCATTGATAACAGCAGTGCCTTCCAAGAAATTATCCCGAGAAGCTCTGAAAGTACCTTGATGAAGTTTCCCTCCCCTTATACCTTCATGGATCTGAGCCGGAGTCAAATGAGCAGGATACAGAGCATCCTTTGAACAAGCCTCTGGTGCCACATTCTTTGACAGTTTATCTAGAAGGCCTATGAAGCCAGTCACATTTTCAACGTAATCCTTGACTGTAAATAAAATTGGGTAGAATTAGACTTGATTCATGACAAGACCAAAGTTAAACCAACAACAAGTGTATGACCATATCTATCTGCACAAATTATTTCATTATTTTTTTTTTCATTTCAAATATTGGCTTTCTGGTGAATAATGGTTATCAGACTAGCCTTTGAGAATTTAAGTCAGTAGTTATATTAACATTTTTATTTCATTCATTTTAAGTCATGTACTATTGATAAACATACTTTAAATTTCCAGGCTAGATTGTGGTTGGCACAGAGTTATAAAACTTATAAATAGATTAAAGGCCTGTTTCACATTGTCACTAAACACATGATAAATTCACGTCTAAAGTTCAAACAAGTTTTTAAATAGAAATAACTTATTAAAATGGTTAAACTTACTAGAACAACAGACTATGCCCTCTTCCTGAGCAATCTTCCTGTTGTTCTCATCATCAGTGAGTAACACAATCTTCGGGAACTGTCCCACAACACTGTTGATACTCAAATGTGTCTCATACCAAACCGCTGCCTTACGGATTGCTCTGTCATTACGATCATTTTGTTTTTCACCTGGATTCCTCTCTATGTAGGTATCCCTGCGAAATTTATAAAATGTAATTTAAAACAATACAGTTACATAGTTTTTAGATTAATCATCTTTTCTTATATTCTATCAACTATTACTCAATATGTTTTCTTATAAAATTAATCTTACTTATGGTGTTCATTAACGAAGGAATAAAACTTTCGTTTCTTGTTAGCTATGATCTCCAACAGTCTCTGGTATATCGCAGTGTTTTGATGTTTCACTTCTTCCAACACAGTTTGTAGTATAATAACGTTAGATAATGCGTCTTCTTCTAGAACGTCGATCTGATGAAGCACTACATTCGTGTCGAGGATCAGGTAGTGAGGATACGAGAACAATGTGCATATTGACTTCGGTTTACCGTCTAACACAAACTCGTCATCTTTATGAGGACATGTGTTACACGCAGCAGATCCACACAGTAAATCATCTCGTAAATAATGTTCTCTTACAATCTGTAACACATTCATTCAGTTAATGCCAACAAAACAATTATAAGAACATAGGTTGGAAAACATAACCTTACTTTTATTATATTGCCGCGCTTTGTTTTGGTTAGAAATGTTTTAGTGGTCCACATCGTACAAAATAATTATAACGCTGTTATAACTATTTTAGAAGATAATGATCACTTATTTATGATATGTTTGCCAAGTTTTGTCCCGTACACAACTTTCATTGCTTGCCATAAACATAAAGTGACAATTAGTGACTAATATAAATGACATTGACAATATGCCATGACATCACATAACAATGACACTTGACACATACCCGTCGGAAAGTTTATTTTTAGTTTTCTTTTTCTTTATTAGTTTTAGTATAGGTATCTTAAGTTGTACGAATATTTAGTTTTTTCTTTTCCTTAAATTATTTAAACTACAACACCTTGTACATAATATTAAAATACTATAAAAAAAATTCAGAATTTGCAAAGTAACAGTGCGAGTGTGACAGATTATAAAAAATTACTACATTTTTTTTAAATTTTATTTCATCCTTCATTTTATATTATTTCTAGAGCAATGCAAGGTAAGTTATGTATTGGTCTAATAATAAATTATTCTAATCGAAAATGTAGAAAAAGATCTTATACGCAATAAACTGACGTTTGAATAAATATGGTATAGCCAAAATAGCCATTAAAGCCTATTGCAAAATTATGAGCCGTTTCTAAAAAAAAAGGCTTACCACCGTAACCTCCACGTGTTAGAATAGATATCAATAGTATATAAAATGGCACGGCAAATGAATGTGTTTGATTGATAATATTTGATTTTATAATCATACAACAGCTACACAGTGAACACAGAGTTATCTACATTCTACAATAGATACTGTTATGTTATGATAATAGCCAAACATGAAACGGGTTACCTATATTTTATTATTTGTTCAATCAAAAGACGTGGTACGTACAACTACAATAATAAATACAACAAATACCAATATACAATCTATTATAAGTAGTCATAGTTTTGTTTATGAATGAATTGCCGGTTAGTCACGTCACGATTGACGATTATTATGCATTTATGCAAAATAATTGCTTAAAAATTAGCTGTGAATGATTCACTTTGATAAGGAAGCGTTAAATGTTGTGTATAATGTAGCTACTGGATATCAGTCTGTAAGCTACCTACACTTGTAGCTAAAGTAGTGGTATTATCAAATAAAAAAATTGGATAATTGCGTCTCTCGACGCGACGCGTAGCCGCAGATAAATATATCAGTCGAGTTGTGAGCGGCGGACGGTCGCCGTCTGCGTGCGTACACATGTATCGCTCGAACTCCGTTCCTTGCGATATTTAAAAATAGAACTACGTACATGTATTGTTTGAATAACCGCGCAATAATTGAGAACAAAAATACACAAACCAGTGAAAGTATTACAAACAATAAATGAAAAGTTATCTTATTTAAAAAAAGGTGTTAAATTCAAAAACATGCCTAAAGACAAAAGTTTTAGATCTCCCCAAAAACTATGGGAATCTGTGTCTTCTAAATCTGTTCACATAGTTGAAGGATTGTTTTTCAAACTTGGAGTGGCTGTGGCAAGACATCCATGGAAGACTGTAATTTTAACATTCAGTTTTGTGTTCCTAAGCTGTATTGGACTACTCAGATTTCATATTGAAAAGAATCCTATGAATTTATGGGTACCACCAGAGTCAGATTTTTATTATGACACAAACTGGTATATTGACACATTTGGTACCGGGTTCAGACTGCAAAAAGTAATTATCTCAGCAGATAATGTGCTTGAACCTGAAGTTTTATCTGCAGTCAATAATATCACTAAGAAAATTAATTCAATACAAGTAAAATATAAAAATGAAGCATATTCTTTGAAAGAATTGTGTTATAAAGTCCCTATTGTGAATTTTTATAATGCTGGTCGAGATAAAAGGTCCTTGGATATGTTACCTGATAACAGTGCTCATTCAAATAAAAGTGCTAGTAGTGACAGTGATTTTTCAGACCCCACTCTTTGGGTTAATGATGAATTTTATTGTGATTTCTTAGAAAGTTTTCAATTTACATGTTATAGACTCAATATTTTGGATTTGTGGAAAAATAATGAAGAGGAAATTAATCAAGCTACAAAACATGACATTGTTGAAAAGATAAACAAGATCAAAGTGAATCCAACAAGTGGTCACCCTTATGACTACACAAAACTTTTTGGTGCTATGAAATATGATGAACATGGTGATATTATTTCTGCTGGGTCTATAATGTTGACCTGGTTTACTCAAGTAAATATGACTAGTATTGATGTTAATGAGGTGGGTAATTTAGTTGGTACCGAAGATTGGGTATCCATTCCACTAGCTATGTGGGAAAGTGAATTTTTAGATTTAATGGAGTCAATTTCTCATAATGTGTCTGATATTAAATTATACTATGAAGCTGGGAGGAGTTTTGCAGATATTAGTGGAAAAGCTATGTTTGATGAATTAGATAAACTCTTTTTAGGAATACTCTTAATGTTTTTGTACATCCAGTTTGCATTATCACGTTTTAACTGGTTAGAAATTAAGCTGACATTGGGTAGTGTAGGCCTTTTGTGTGTAGGTTTAGCCTACATAACTGCTGTAAGTTGGTGTTCAGTTCTTGGTATATCATTTGGTCCAATTCATTCATCTCTACCATTTCTTCTCATGGGTCTTGGAATAGATGATATGTTTGTGATGAATGCTTGTTGGAATAATTTGCCAGAATCAGCAGCTAAAAAAACATTACCTGTTAAAGTAGGCCTTATGTTGAAACACGCCGGCGTATCTATTGTAATTACGTCCTTTACGGACATAGTTGCTCTTCTTATTGGAGCTATTACGATCCTTCCGTCGTTAAAGTCCTTTTGTATTTATGCCGCTATGGGCGTATTTTTCATATTTTGTTTTTCAGTAACGTTTTATGTAGCGGTATTCACGCTAGATTTGAAAAGAATTGAAGATAATAGGAACGGAATCCTTTTCTGTTATCAACATAAAAAGCAAATAAGAATTTCAGACAGTAAAACCATATTTCAAACGTTTCTAGAACACTTTTACAGACGAGTCGTATTTACAATACCCGGCAAAATTATCGTAATTTTATTCACGTTAGTTATTACTGGTTTTAGTATACAAGCGATTCTTCACTTGGAGCAAAGATTTGACCCGAAGTGGTTTATTCCTGACGACACGTATTATAAAGATTTTCTTAATGCTAACGAAGTTTACTATCCCGAAGAGGGAAATATGGCTATGGTATTTTTAGGTGAAATGAACTATAACAAAGAATTCATTAAAATACATGATATGATTCAAGATTTAAAAAAAGAAACTTATATTTATGACGTAAGTACTTGGGTTGAATATTTTCATCAATATGTTTTACAAAACTATAATCGCGATCTCGTAAAAAATGCTTCAGCATTGACGGACCAAGAATTTAATAGACATTTGTCAAGATTTCTTTACAGCCCTATTGGTGGCAGATTTCAAGTTAATTTTAAATTCTCAGAACCGTTCACATGTGGTATTCCAGCTACACAAATAAAGGCTTCAACAATGCTTTTTAATTTTGCTAAATTTAGAGGTCCTGAAGAGTATATACCTGCTATGAACCACGTAAGAAACATTGTCAAGACTACAAATGTAACAACTGGCGATGGGTATCGCAGTGTTTGGTCAAAAGTGTTTGCAAATTGGGTCACTGATGAAATAATAGCAGTCGAAGTCGAAAGGAACATAGAGCTGGCTCTACTTTGTGTAATGCTTTGCACTGTTATTTTGATAACAAATCTGCAAATGTGTTTATGGATATTTGTTTGTGTTTTATTAACAATTCTCAATGTATTAGGTTGTATGCAAAGATGGGGTATGACTGTAGATATAGTGTGTTGCATAGGTCTCGAGCTCGCGACTGGTCTATGTGTGGATTATGCCGCTCACGTTGGACATACATTCTTAACATTGACAGAAGGCTCTAGTTCAGAAAGAGCTTTCAAAACAGTCACATCTATTGGATCTGCAGTAATGTTGGGCGGTGGCTCCACTTTCCTGTCACTATCTCTTCTTAGTATGTCCAAAGCGTATACTTTCCAATCCTTCTTTAAAATTTTCCTTTTAGTTATATTGTTCGGATTGTTTAATGGTTTAATATTTTTACCTGTAGGTTTGTCGTTAATAGGGCCAGACGCGTACAAACCTAAGAAACATAAAGTCGCAGCTGAAATGGTAGAGTTGAATGGAAATAATGGAACCATTGAAAAACAGTTAGAAGATGGATGAACTGGATTTATTTCAGTAAACTAAGGTATTTAACACTTACACGTGATACTCAATACAGTCATATGTGATAACTAAGTATCTAATAAAATGTATTTGTGGATTGGTGTCCTATTGTAAACTGGAAAAGATACGTTGAAGTATCCATTCCATAACTAGTAATTTTTTGAATGAAACGAAAGAATTGCAAACACCTGAAATACCCTCACGTGCTTGTCCTTCTCACAAATCGTGTCAAACGAATGCGATATTACCTAAGTACGTATTTGTATCGTTACGTAACGATGCTATGTGTATATCAATTTGTACAACTTAGAAAATAGTTTAAGTAGACATTTTGTATAAAATGTAGGCAATAAGTTCCTATTCTGTACGATATTTTAATTTGCAAGCGCCACTAAATATTGCCTTGATAAAAATATTATTTGTCGTAAGTTTAAGTGAAGTTAATGAAACGAAAACTCATTCGAATCAAATGTAACTTTAAGTGTCTGGGTGTTAGTATACATATTACTTAAGAAGTAATGTCAAGTTTTTAGGTTTATAATTGCTCAAAATCTTATCAACTAAATGTCGTTAGTTTAGAAACTTAACAATTATTACCTGCTAGAAAAACTATAACACATGACATTTTTTGTAAATATTAATCCTTACCTATGTGTAACTAGAAAATTATATTAATATGATTGTACGAAAATTTACAATTTTGATAACTAATGTGAACTTGTATTTCTACATTTACAAACTTAAATTATAAATAACGAATGATGTAAGGACATTAAAAGACTGGTACGTGCTTAGTGATGTTCAAATTATTATTGGAGTGGTATATGTAACCGCTAGTATAAAATGTGTTCGTCAAGTGCCTGATTATTTATTTTATATGTTGGCAATGTCAGAATCTACTGGAAAATAAACATTTTATAACTTTCTGAAACAAGT